GTTTTTACATTACTTTGTTCAGGATGAAGAGAGCTTATATAGCACAGAGTATATGATGTTTAGTAACAGTTGAATTGATATCAAAGTATTAATATTACTTAAATAAAATTTCTCATTTCTGGGATGGAATAATGTTAAACAACACAAGAAAACAATGCTGCATGGCTTCCTAGAAAATTAGTTGCTTATATAATACTTTTCAGATATTTTCATTCCATCCACTGTGGAGTAAGATGGAGGCAAGTCATGTCTGTCTGTTAGTGATTATAAGGAATTCCAGTTCATTATTATTTTAAAGCATTACAGCAGTTCAGGTTTTGTGTATATGTACTTTGAAATGCCATCTGAAGTGGTGATCAGTTATATCCTGTGTCAGAGTGCCTTTATAGAGTAAGAGACAGTTGACCATATCATTCAAGAAGTAATTGTGTATAAATAATGCCCTGTTTTATTTGCTTTTTTTGCTCTGAGGTTTGTAATTTAAGAAATATAGATTCACAACAATATTAGGAACTCGCATTCCTTGTTAGTAGATTTTGTTTTCCATATTTTTATATAAATATAGGATTTTTTTACTATTTTGAGTTATGTCGTAGATGGTATGTTATTGCTGATTCCATCATATGGATTTGTCCAGTAGTATTGTCATCATTGATGGTAATATTACATTTTTATTATAAAGATGAAGATGGTCATCATTACTGTGATTATCCTCATCATCATTATGATATTTGGAATTTCATTATCACAATTAATATTTTTGTCATTGTTACTTGTCATTATCCTTTGTAGTGTTATTTTTAACCAAACTGCCCCGGATTTATGCTCTGTCCCCTGTAATCTTTTATGAATTTTTATACATACAGATGGCTCCACATGTGCACTGCTAGCAAGGAGTCTATCAGTAGCCCAAGTAACTGATCCTGATTTCCCCATTCCTTGAATTGGCAGGAAAATGTTTTTCTTTGTTAATATGAATACTGTTATTATTGTTATTGATGTTATGATTATTAAATTATTATCAAAAGCTTGATAGCATTTAAGACAGTGGAATAATGCAAAAATCCCTTTCCAAAAGTCGAGGAAAAGGGTAAACAGGTGAGATAGGTAACTGACTCCTTGGTGACTAAGCACTTGTAGAGCCATCTATTTATAGATACAATAAACTTGTATTTCAGTGGGCATGGCATGTATTTTTGCCATACATGGCGCTTGGGTTAATAGTGTAAGTACAATTTTTTTTATCTTTCATTGCACCAAATTATGTCACTTTCATTTATTCACATTACTATGGTTAACATTATGTTGTTTAAGTAAAATGTTATGGCAAGGTGAGATTTAACCAGTATCAAGAGAAGCCTTTTGAAGAGCAGATATATTCTGGTAGGACATGTTTACAAAGGGGATTTCTTAGTGAAACTAATGGCAACAGGTAATATTTTACCACATTAATTGCCAGGATAAGAGGGAAACTGTAGCAACCCCCCCTCCCCCACCTCTCAAATGTTCAATTCTTCATCCATAGAATTGAATCTGCCCATATCCAATATTTGGGCAGATTTTTGTTTTTGATATTTCACAAGAACATTATTTTGCACTTACCTAAATGTATATTCACTCACAAGCAGTAAAACATAGTCATCATACAAGCAGCCAGTTGTGTATTTATACGCATTAGGGTGAAAAGACATTAAAAGCAGATAAAGAAGTGAGGTGGCAATGCTATCATTAGTAGACAGGAACCAAGAAGAATAGGGGATGGGATGCATGCCTTGGGTATGGATGGAGCAAGCTGTCAGACAGTGCCAAATGTATCTCAATGGCACTGGGAATTAATGTCAGCACAAGGTGAAAATTTAAAGGGACAATATTTTTTTCTCTTTGTCTTTGATTACTGGCAAGCTTGTTGTTTTTCAGTAAAATCATTAAAAATGCAGGTTTAGGATATTAGTCTTGTCAGAGCAATCAGAGAAGAGAGCAGCTACCTTTGTTTTGGCATGTATAGGTGGCATCTAAAATTCTGGCTCATCCTCGCCATGGCATATCTTGTGATTGGTTTCATGGCTACAGTTACCATATTTCATTCACAGTAAAATAGAGGCAGAGAAAACATCTTTGAAGCCAGGGAGGAGAGTGTGGGATCACAGGGGAGGGGGAAGAGGTAGGATGGTTAGTGTGACTGTATGAAACATGAGACAAGATCAGATTTACAAGTTCATGCTCTTGTTCTTGCAAAAAAAAAAGCATGGAAAAACAGCCTGCCAGCATAGGATATTGGGAAACAGAATGTATAAAATATGGTTGTACAAATATTGGTTCTTATAACTGAGCCAACTTTGTTGCTGTATTTGACTTCATTCTAGATATGCATATTGTATTAGGTTTTGACTTGGATTAGATATTACTTGAGGAAAAAATACAGTTTTAATATAACTTTCCTTGTTGGATTTTGCAGAATGTGGATAGGAAAGTCTAAAGCATCCAAGATTATCAATTTTCTTGTTTCACCAAAGACAACTTCTCTGTGGCTACATTTGTACCATAACAGAATGACTGAATTTATAGTATAGGTACACCACTTTTCTAGCCACAGTGGTTCCAGGACCATAATGATTTTTAAAATAATCATCTAATTATGCACCTCCCAGATCTCTCTATCAGTGGAGGTGCACTTATCACAGCACACTGCCCTCGACATCACCTTTGACTGCCTAGGTCTTTTCAAGTACCTGTTCATAATTTTATCAAGCTTAAAATAGGTTGACCTATCAGTTTCTGGAAAGTTGGGGATGCATCTGAAGATGGATAAGTGTCAGTCCATAGTTAGAATAATATTAAGAGATTTGATAATGTTTATTATTATATAGTGATGGTGATAATTACTATCAGCTTTGACAATATTATTATCAAGTGTTGTCATTGTAAAAAAATAATAATGTTATTCTGATTTTTTATGATGTAGTTGTTATTGCCATTATAATTGTTATTTTTTCTAATTGTTGCAATTAGTTTAATACTGTCATTATTATTGTAAGTTCTTTACTACTACTGAGATCATGACAAGTTTTATGTTAATTATTATTATTATTATTATTATTTGATGATTATTATTGTTGGTGCTGTTATATAGATTACTTGGATCCTCTGAATGTTGTTATCTGTCATTCTTCTCATGAACAATACTAATACCAAGAGTAATGATGGAAAACTGAATCACCACTTCATATATACCAAAAGAAAAGTAAAAACAGAGAAAATAGGAATGATTTCATCTACCAAAGAATGTCAATCAGGAAGGACATTTTCTATATTTTTCTTGTCTGATAAAGTTTGGAAGGTATTTCAAAGCCATTTTTTAAGTAAACTCTTGGAAAAGATTTGAAGTTACATTGCCAGTAAGATAGCTGAAGGAATGAACTTGCTCTCAGACAGAATTTTATTTTGTTCAAGGCAAAATCATATTCATAATAGGATGAACAGTGATCATTTGGGTTGCTTTAGTGTGGCAATAGTCAAAGAAAAAAAATTCTGCATCTGACTGCAAGTTGGTTCCCAGAAGTCAAAGGATACAAGATGTAAAAAGGGTGTGAATGAGAAGGAAATATTCCACAGCACAGTATATGTATGATAATTATTGTTTCATCATTACATTTCCATTAGTATTCTAGATGAGTCTGATGGAGATGTAATATCAAAACATCCATTACAGATCTTACTTTGTAGAATAATCCATTCTCATTCATGCCTTTTAGTTAGGAGTTGCTTATGTTATTGAATATGTATTGTAAGGGATTTTTACCAACCAGAATAAAATAGTTAGCATAACAGTAAATATATAGTTTATGTATGTGTGTGTGTGTTATATATATATATATATATATATATATATATATATATATATATATATATATATATATATATACATACACATACATACATACATATATATATATACATATATATATATACACACATATATATACATACATATATACACACACACACACACACACACACACACACACACACACACACACACACACACACACACACACACATATATATATACATATATATATACATATATATATACATATATATATAC